TGATTTTCAGGTGTTAGCACTTGGGGGAGCTGCTCTGCCCCTGCCTGGTGCAGGGCTTAGTGGGGGTTGTTTACCCCGTGAGGCCCCAGGAGGAACAGCCACATTGGCTATGGCAGCTCTGGAAACCTGGATTCAGCTCCCACAGTAACTCCGGGGCTCTCAGTCTGCAGGGCCTAGAGGCTCCGGGGCGGGGCCGCTGATCTGCTCAGCTCGGGGCAGGAGCGTCCTTGCTGTCCTGGGCCCTCCCGGCCTCTGCCTGTCCCCGGGGGAGGCCGGATCCTGGGCTGTTTCCCAGCGCCCTGTGCTCCGGGGCCTGCGCTGTTGGATTCGCGCTCCCCGTTGCGCAGCCGCCGCTCTGCTGATCCGCTGGAGCCCCTCCGAGCTGCTCCAGGCCGAGCAGCCCCCTCCGTGCAGAGCCGCGCCCGAGTGCTCGGGTCAATGTGTGCGCGCTGCAGCCCTTAGGGAGCTCGGCACACTCTCCCCAGGCCGCAGGTGTCTGTTAGTGTCCCAGGGAGCCCGAGGGCATCCCCGCCCTCCTGGGTCCTGCTGTAACTCCCTGCGAGGCCTTTCCGCCCGGGAAGGTTGGTGCAGCTCCTGCTTCTCCAGGACGGGGCTCTCCTGTCCTGGGGACACTCGCCCCGGCCTCAGCCCGGCTCCTCGCGGGGCCCCTCCCCCTCGGAGGCCTTTTGTTCCTTTATTTCTTTTTCCCCGTCTTCCTACCTTGACAGAAGCACGAACTCTTCTAAGCGTTTCAGCTGTTCTCTCTTTAAATCTCAGGCCGAATTCGTAGATTTTCAGGATGATCTGAAGGTTATCTAGGTAATTTGGTGGGGACAGGTGATTTGGGGACCCTACTCTTCCGCCATCTTGCCCCTCCCTTAAGATGCTCCCTCATTAATGAAGGCTTGACACTCTATTTTTCCCAGAATAAACTTGGAAAAGTCATCCAGGCAGACGCACAGAGATAGTTGCAGGGATTCATTGGTGGGCATTTTGTATATATAGTGGTTAAATCTTGATTCTGGAGAATCTTCCGTATAGTTTTGAGGGGACATATGTACAAGGGGATCCTACAACGTGGTTCAAATAAATGTCCACATTTCCAAATGTTGTAACATAAATGGTAACGTAGTGGATTTTTAATGCCTGATAACTGCCAGTGTATCTGGCTCATCAACAACTGAGCACTTTTTTCTAGTAAATGTGAACCATGTGCCCTGCCCACTCATGGAAATATTTCACAAGCCTTGCCCCTTACCACGGGAGTTTATGTACGTGCTGAATAACTGTACTCACTGTTGGCTAACGCCCCGAGAGAAGTCATTCCTCTTTCTGGAAAACGGTCTGTTTCAGCCTGTTTTAAACTCTGAGGCTCTATAACTCCTACATGGCAAATTCTAGAGTTTAGAAAGAGCGGTAAAGTCCTGTCCTTTTGACATATATAACCACTGCTCGAGGAAACCCACCATCTTGTGTGAGCAGTTAGTGCAGAGGGTTATAGTAGGTCTGTATCTGAAACAATGATTTTTACAAGCAAAAGCAACAAACATGGCACAGTGATCCATTATTTTTCCTTTTGTGTTTTGGACACTGTAATTCATCAGATGGGCAAGTCATCAAAAGGATTATTGTGTTATTGTGAAAAATAGAAGGCTTTTCATGCCAATACATGACCAGACAGCCAGTGAACTATTTGGTTAGGGCTCATAGTTTTTCCATCCCGGAGCAAAGCGAGGCTGTAACCTGGTACTGAACTTGACTTTCACCATCACTCCCCATCAGCATATCTTTTGGTTGTTGTTGTTGACATGTGTTGCATTTTCTTGTCCTTATTTAGGTTAGGCTAATTTACATCCATAAATATTCCTTACTTTAAGGTTTGACAAATTGAAATCAATCTTCCAGTGCTTGCCTGCAACCTAAAAATCAATGTGATACCTAAAATAAAAATCAGTCTAGAAGTCTTTTTTAGAGCAGTGGTATTCTGAGATTGGAAAATCAAATAAAAAAGGAGGCAAGTCAGTCATTTAAGAGAACAGCCAAGATGCATTTGCCAATAGGGGAGACCGTATGATTTCCTGAAAATGGAGTATGTAATATGCAGGGACCTTCAATCGGGCTGTGGGAGAAGGAAAGCCCATCTGGAGAAGAGGCATTTTGGTTGGGACTTGAAGGATGAGGAGGAGCTAGCCGTGAGTAGAGCATTTCAGGTAGCAGGAGCAGCATGTCTGCAGGTTATAGGATTAGCGAGAGCCTGATACAGTCCAGGAACAGAAAGAAGGCTTTGCACATATGGGGAGAGACGGGCTGGGACCAGGTCATGCAGCCCAGGAGAAAGAAATACGATGATTATTCTAGTGCTGTGGAATGTGTTACACACACGTGCACACTTATGCAAGTATGTAAATGCACGATATTGCTGTTTTAAAAAAATCATTTGATGCAATGTTGAGAATGATCGATAGGACTAGACAGGAAGCAGGCGGACTGGGTAGGAATACTGCAGGTGACAGTAATGGTGACCTTGCCTTGGATGATACTAGGCCACTTAGCCGTTTGCACCATAAGCTCAGTGCCTGGGGCCTCTGGGCTTCTCAGGGCTCTGCAGGTGCTGAAGACCTAAAAAAAGGTTATTCGCTTTAAAATGCAAAAACCAAAAACCAAACAACCTGCCCCCCCCCACACACACAGAGGGAAATTAAAGTATTTAAAGCATGCAAAACAAAGGATTATTTTGTCAACTTTATTATAGAACTTTAAATTTGATATTTGTTAACATTTTGATACCCTTACATCTAAAGGCATTTCTAGGTCAGATTTCCCATTTTGCTCTAATTTGAGCATGTGTAATGGGTGCTTTGAAATCATAATTGTAGGAGTTACTCATGGTCCTAGATTTTCCAGGGAAAATCATTAAAATCTCAAAAGTTAAAAAAAAACACTCTGGAAAATAATTATACTTCATGTAAGATGGGAGTTCATTTTGTGACTTTTGGTGTGGGTTTTCAAAAGTGTGAGTACTTATGGACTGTGGAGGCCTTAAAATGGACCTGGGTGGGGAAAATAGAGGAGAAAGCACTGCTACATTCAGATCCAGTGGGACTGGATGGCATCGAGGGATGAAGGCCAGAGACCTCCGTGTGGTATCTGGTGAAAAAGGCAAGGTTGGTGGTAAAGGAAGGTTTGGACAGGGTATGAGGAGGGGACCGGGACACGGAGGGGACAGGGGACAAGAGGTTTTCTGTGTAATAGATGAGGTTGGAGCCTCTGCAGTTCAATCTGGGGGATCCTGACCCCTCCCCATCCCCTTCCCTACACCCCGCCCCCCAGTGCTGGCTGCCCAAAGGCCTGAATGTCCCCGCCCCAGGTGGCCTGGAGGCCTGCGGACCTCACCTGCCGGGCAGGCACTTTGCACGCAGGTGCAGTCGCCTCACTGGGTGCGGTTTGGGGGGAAGCCCCAGGTGGACGGCGACCTCGTCGCCACTCCTCCCCACCTGCATTTGTTGAGAGGTGATGCGGCCTCAGGTGGACCCGGCACCCGGCAGGCCGGTCCCTGCACGTGTGCCCTGTGCCTGTGCCTCTGCGTGTGCCCTGTGCGTGTGGCTTGGCGTGTGTGTGGCCGGTGCCTGTGGCCCGTGCGCGTGTGCCCTGCGTGTGTGGCCCTGTGTGTGTGCCCCTGAGCGTGTGGCCGGTGCGTGTGGACCTGTGCTTCTGCCTTTGTGTGTGTGGTGTGCGCATGTGCCCCCTGCGCGTGTGCCTTTGCATGTATGCTCCTGCATGTGGCTGGTGCATGTGCCCTGCGCGTGTGTGGCTGGTGCCTATGGCCCTTGTGCATGTGCCCTGCACGTGTGCCCTGTGTGTGTGCCCTGTGCGTGTGCTGCCGGTGCCTATGGCCCCTGTGCATGTGCCCTTACTTGTGTGCCCTGAGTGTGTGCCCCTGAGCGTATGGCCAGTGCATGTGCCCTGTGCGTGTGCCCTTGCATGTGTGGCTCTGCACGTGTGGCGTGTGCATGTGCCCCCTGCACATGTGCCCTCACATGTGTGCTCCTGCGGGTGTGGCCAGTGCATGTGGCCCTGCATGTGTGCCCTTGCATGTGCGGCCCTGCGCACGTGCCCCACACGTGCGGCCCTGCCTGTGGCCCTGCATGTGCCCTGTGCATGCCCTCCCTTGCGCGTGTACTCCTGCGTGTGCCCTGCATGTGTGTGCCGTGCATGTGAGCCCTGAGCGTGTGGCCCTGTGTGTGTGCCCTGCGGGTGTGCCCCGTGTGTGTGCCCTGCGCGTGGACCCCAAGTGTGTGCCCTGCGCGTGTGGCCCGTGCATGTGCCGCAGGGCAGGAGGCAGGACGGAGTGTGTGCTCGATGCACAGCAGGTGGCGCCGACGCACCGACCAGGTCCGAAAGCTGAGAACTAGGAAACGTACAGTTTACTCCGTAAAATCAACTTTAGGGTCCCCGGGGGCTCGGCGTGGAGCCCCTGCCTCCGGCCCAGGCCGTGACCCCGGGTCCTGGGTTGAGTCCCGCCTCGGCCCCCTGCAGGGAGCCTGCCTCTCCCTGGCCTGGGTCTCTGCCTCCTTCTCTCTTGAGTAAATGAATAAATTTTTTTTTAAGAATCTACTTTTATGGTCCTGTCACAATTCTGAATGGTAATCAGCTGAGAGGCTCCTTTATCGAAAACCTGAGAGCTTAAGCGGATGGCTCAGTGTCGGGGTGAGCGGTAGGCTCCCGTGGAGGGGGGTGGCCGGCGGGCTGCGTCTCCGGGCCTGTCTCGGGGCTCCTCCTGCTGGCCAGGCCCGAGCGCAGCCTCGCCTTCCGAGGGCTATAGCCGACAGGTGAAAGCTCAGAATGTCTTCAGAACGCGGTGAAAGTGCGAGAAGGAGCTGGGGTGGTGCCGTCTTCTGAGCTCTAGGGCGCTCTGTCGGGCCTCCCGTCGGGCCGCCTGCAGCCGTCCCCCTGGTGGGCAGGACATGAGCCCCCGTCACCCGAGTGCCCTTCTCTCCTAGCTCCGCTGGGCGTCGTGGAACCAGGCCTTGTGAAGGACCTTCCCGGTGCTGCTGGGGAGCTGCCCGCCGGCCCCGGGGTGGGCAGCGCTGCCGCCGTGCAGGATGGGGACGGCACCAGGGACCTCCGAAGCCCGGCCAAAGCCCCTCACGTGCAATTCGTTGAAGGAAAGGTATGGTAAACTAGCAGAAAGCCTGATTTTCAATGTGTCCTTAGATGAGAGGCTGTTGCGTGTGTTAAGCAGGCGTCAGCGTCTGTTGTCTGTGATACGGGTTCCCAGGCTGTAGGCTCCCACTGGCTTGGACGGGGTCTCTAACTGTTCTCTGATTCTTGTTCAAAGCACAATACTTCAACGTAGATTATATTAATGCAGACAAGTAATTTAGTGGCTGGACATTTTTGACTGTCTTCAAAATCATTCTTTTTTGTAGTTAAATCTCTATAAGAGCTGTGGTGTTTTGAAATTTATATTGGTTACAAGTAAATTTTAAACTGTAGCTTGTCTTGAGTATTTTAATAACGTTGTCTTGAATTCTTTTTGACATGAACAAATATGGTCTTTATGAAAAATGTTATTTTTCATTAATCTCTAACTGATGAGGAAATTCTTAAGCAAAGCCTGATTGTTTTGTGAATAGTGAATGAGAAGATGGTGTGTTGCTTATTAGCTCATTATTTGGGGCATAAAGCGTGGTGAATGGAGAAGTAACTTACACTGTGTTTTCAAATTTGTCACTATTTTACGATGCCTTTTTACCTTAGAAAAGTAAAGTCACTCACAGGTTGATGTGAAGGCTTTGAGTTCTTCACATCTCTTTTCTGTATACGCACAAAGCACTTTTTTTTTATAGATCACATTGAAAGTGAATACGAGGAGGAAATGACATTTTGCAATAGATTTATAGTGTTTTCTAAATTTTAACTTTTGAAAACTGTAAAGACCTGCGACATGAGTCTGTAGAGGACCTAGTAGATGAAGGAGCTGCCCGTGGCTCAGGGAGCCCTGTCTGACCACCTGTCAGCGTAGACGAGGGCTTGGGGACCATGCGAGCCTGACACCCCAGACTCCTGCCATCAAGTCCTCTCAATACATTTGCTGAAGAGTTTGGGACCGTCATACCAGCAAGAATTATTTGGTTGAAAAATCATGCAGTTAAAAATAACAAATCATGACCAAGATATCCTTCACCTACTGAAGAGTTGTCAGAATCTTTTGTAATTGGGCTAATGAGGCGCCCAGGAAACTGCTTACATCTGAAACACGAGAGAGCTCAGCCTTTCTGAGTCTCCGTACCATTCTGCCTCATTTATTCGATACAGGTAGTTATTTTTAAAAAGTTACTTGACATTCCACAGGAATTCTGCTTACCTTCGGCTAATGACTGGGTGAGCTGATCTTTCCGCTAATGCTTTTGATGCTTGTCAGCAGCCAGATTTAAAAGTAGGAATGTTCTTTGAGTTTCGTTGGATCTATTTGCAACCAGTCAGAAAATAATAATTAAATCAATCTATGCTATAAATTTCATGCGAAGAGTAGTCCAGTCTTTCTCTTTAGAAGTGGGTCATTCACATTCTAACTGTGCTGTGTTAACAGCAGGAGTACAAACTTTCACTAACTGCCCATTTCTTTTCTTTCTCTCTTGCCTGTGTTTCTCCTTTGAACGTGTGTGTTGTGCGACTTTACACTCAATCATGGGTTTGCTGCCGACAATAGCCTGTGTCCATGTGCCCGCCTTCCCCACTCATTCGCTGTGTCTCATCTCTTTCCCCAAACCTGTCGCCAGTCCCGGAGAGGGACTTGCTCTCAGACATTTCGGAGGAAGACCCCTTTGGGGAGGCCGACCAGATCACGCTAGACAGCTTAGAACTGCCCTCCATGGGTGACCCGTCAGAGCAGGGAGACGGTGACGTCACCCCCCTTGACTCTGTCTTGGGTCCTGGTGCAGCCCCTCCTCAGCCCGACTGTCCTCCCACCAGTGAACAGCCTCTCAAAGAGGCTGGCCCCGAGGATTCCGAATTTGGGTATTTTTCCTTCCATTTCTGCAAATGCTTCCCACCTAGCTTCCCCTCGCTTCTCGATGAAGATGGGTATCTGGCCTTCCCCAGCGTCCCCAAAGTCTGGGTCTCCTTCCTGCCTGCCGACGTCCAGCACTACCTTCCTATTACCTCCCCTTCGTTCCTTCCTTCGCTCATCCTCATCTTCGGGCTGCTTCTCTCTGCTTCTCAGTCCGTGCCTTTTTCTCTCACCTTTGCCCTTCCTCTGGCTCTGTCCCTCTGCTACCTGGAGGCTAAAGCCACTTCCTTCAACGTTTCTTGTGACCGTGACTTGAACGACAAAACCGAGGAAGAGGAAGCAGTTGCTGGCACTCCTACATAAGCTTTAACCTGTGGGGCCAACAACATGACATCTTCTACCCTCCCTACTGTAGAGTGTAAACATGTGCATAAATTCACCACTGATTACCCTCAAAATAGTATGGTCCACACATTGCGGCATACGGTGTTTTAGTGCATGAGAAATATGTGTAATTAAGCCCTTCCTCTTCGTTGACTTCCGCTGACCAGGTCCACACCTTTGAAGTTGAGAGCAAAGTTACAGGATTATTTTGTAAATATCTGAATCATACTAGGTCTTCAAAACAACACAGGAAACCTGTGTTGCCCCTAAAAGTCCATATTGGGTCTGTTTGTTTTGCAGACAAACATCAATCGTATCAATGCTGCTCCTTTCAGATGGAAACTTGTCTCAATGTAGAATTTAAGATTCCGTGGACGTAACTGTGATTGATGTATATGAGTAGAACTCCTTAGTGTTATTTCTCATTAGAAAGCCAAGCTCGTTCTTGCCTTTATGAGAATAAATCTGTAACCTTTACTCCTGACCTTTATAGGTCTAATCTCAGAAATGCCTTGTCTCCCTGTTACTGTAGCATTTGGGAATCAGATGAGTTTCAGGTAGTTTTTTTTTTTCTTTTTTTAAATCTCTAAATCATGTAGTTTTATGAAAGAGTGTCAGGTATTTGTAAGGAAGATACCACTCTGTTAAGAGATACTTATGAAAAATGAAACGTGGCTTTTTGAAAATTTGGATGATTTGCCCTAAGGTTGGGCTACTTAGTGTCCTTTTATTCCAGATTAGGTGTCTGGTTTGAGCATTTTTACCCCTGTGTAGGGCTACCTCTGCACTGCTAGGTTGGTGCTAGTATGTGCAGTACGGTTTTGTTTTGCTAAATGTGGTCTGGTGACTTCAAGTCTTATCCTGTGGGTACTGTCCATACGTAGAGAAAGTCAGAATTTAAAGCAAACCTAAAGAAAAATGTGAAGATCATGCTATATGATTAGGCATAGTGGGAGAAACCACTATTCCTAAAGGTTACCTGAAGAATGCCAAAGATTGGCATGTTGCAGAATTAAGTATTGACCAAGGAATTGGACCACGATCCTTAATAGATTGTTGGGTAGCTCTTATTTTTCCCTTCTGATACAGATACTCTGAGCTCCCTGCTTACCTCAAAAATACTTGGTTTCAAGAAAAAGAAAAAAAAAAAGCATTTTTGAACTCTCAGATTTGACACCGTCATTCCAGTAAGGAGGAAAGGAACATGTATGATTCTGCTATAAATTAACATGTGAAAGTTTAACTATGGTCTTTTGGTCTCAGAATCATTGTTTTTCTTTCTTGCTCTTCCTTTTCTTTGAGTGGTTATCAGGATTTATGCTTTTTTTTTTTTAATTTGCTGAAGTATTGACATACAGTGTTAACATTAGTTTCAGGTTTTTATAACATAATGATTTGACAATTCTATAATCTGTTACCATATGATGTTATTAGAATTTTGTTGACTCTATTCCCTATGCTGTGCTTTTCCTCTCCATGAGTTAGTTTTAAATTTACAGGGTTGTGGGTTTTTTTTTTCTTTTTTTTTTTTTTCCTTTTGGGTTGGGTCATTAGATACCGAGAATTACCCAACCATGAAAAACTATTCTTATTTAAAGAATTTTACGAAAGAAAAGTGGCCATCAAATAGGAGTAGTTTTAAATACAATTTTAATGTGCTGCAAGCAGCAAAATAAACCAGTTTTCCTCTCAAGGAAATAAATCTATGTTAAAAAACTGAACTATAGGTGAATATTTGTCCCTGATGTAAAATTTGGTTTTCATTTTTTCATCATTCTACTTTGTCCTCTTGCCCAGTTGATTTAGACCTTTCACGTTAGGACAGATGGAATTATGCCATTTTTACACTCTTATATTTTCACTTCTGAGTAAAAACATTCAAAAGCAGCACATGATCTAGGGACTGAGAAAGAGTGAAGCTTCCATTCTCCATTCCACCTTTGCAAAGGATCCCTTCCACCGTTTGTGTGACACTATAGGTGAAGAAAGACCCAAGTGGCTTTATGTTCTGCATCTTCTGAGGGCCAAAGAGTAAAGGTTGGTAATGCTGGTTCACCATTTTGGTTCAAATATAACGTCTTTGCATCAGTGGGTAGGGTTCCCACTGCTACGCCCCTTCTTTCTGGCCGTTTGCTGTATGACTTTCAGGTGAAGATGGAAGAAGAGGAGACCTAGCTGAAGGAGGTGGATATCCCCCCGCCCCTGCCCCCGGTTAAATACCTGATGGCTGCTGCTTGCCATTTTGTATCTGTGCGCATGTAATGTGCATGGGGTAATGCACTTTCAGGACTGATACTTATGTGAGTTTTGCTTGTTGTGGCTTTAGGTTCTTAAGATTTTTATTCCTCTTGTATTTTAATGTCTTGGACTGTCCAACTCTGGGTCATTTCTGGTGCCTGCTGATTGATACAATTATGTTTATTTGCCTTTTCCCCCCTGTGTGTGATTTAATTTCACAGAAAAATTCCTTGAGAGTAGAAGGGGATAATATTTATGTCAGACATAGCAATTTAATGTTGGAGGTTTGTATAATTCAAGAAAACAACTCTGTCCTAATGGCTGCCAGGCTGCTGTGGACGGGAGGTCACGCACAGGCTGGCTGGCAACTTCCTTCGAGCACATCTGCATGAGATGCATGGGGGACAGTTCAGCTTGGGAGTGCATGGGAGCAGTCCGACTCCATTCCTTTAAAGTGGCTTAGGTAGGAATAAATCCGCTAGAAGTTCTCAAAGTGACAGCTGGGAAAAAAGATGCTCTGTTTAATCAAACGAGTGAAATTTTATCTGTTACTCTTGAAGTTCTACAGATAAATCTGTTCACTCCTAATGGGTTAATCTCCGCGGGGTAGAATCTGAAGTAACATCCCGTCCTTCACATATACTCACCGGAACAGAGCTTTGCTGGTCTGGCATGAAATGACGGTAGTCTCTGCTCACAATTTCGGGGGCAGCATTGCTTAAATCTATGCAATTAAGAATGTGGTCCACTTAAAGTATCACCTTTGAAAAAATGTTGATGAATGGGATTGTTTGGATTAAAAAGAAAGTGAGAAAAAAGGAGGAGGAAAAAACCCCAACTGATTAGATGTATAAAATATGTTCCCCGTGTCACGCGAGAACTTTTTGTTGTTATTTTTTCCCCCTTTAGTAAAACGGTGATGTATTGAGTGGAGAGCTGCAATTCTCAGTAATCTGACTAATCTGGTTGCTTTCGGCAGCTTTGATAACTATTGGAAATGTATTTTGCATAACTTACTAAAATGCTCTAAAGTGTAATATGTGTAACATTGCTTTGAACAAATGCAAGAAATGTGCCTGATCTCAAGCCACAGTCATTTTTCCATGCCATGCAAAGAGATTTAGATTATTATGAGTTTTTGCAAATGGCTATAGAAGCTCCAAGAGGAGCTACTATGCTTGTGCATGAATGTGGAAGATCTAATTTTATCAGATGCATGACCTGTTCCTCTGGGAGTGGAATGAAAGCTGTAATCCACAGGTGACCCCATGATTTTGAAATATAAGAAAGCATTGAAAACTCACTTAAAACTGTCTCCTGAACACTAATTACCTTTTATTCCCACAAATACTATTTATCAGGGCCAATCTAAAAATTCCCACAAATACCATTTGTCGGGGCTCATTCCAAGGAAAATTGACCTGGTCGTTTTCTTGCATCCTTGTCTAATATGAGGACCATTTGGTATGTGGGGTGGCTGGGCCCCACAGTCGTGCTCAGGGAACCCAGTATATGGGGTTCCCTCTTTTATAGAGAGGCCACACAGGACCAGCCTCTGGAAGCCATTATTCTTATTCCTTAAGGATTAAAGCCATTGCTGGAATTTCCTGGAAAAAGTCAACCCTTGGTGTTCTCTTTCTCTCTCTCTCTCTCTGATCTTGACCTGGCTTTCCCATCAGGCTGAATGTACTTCTGAGTACCTTTCTCTATTTTTACTTGATTTACTATATTCACAGAATGCAGCTGTAGTAAGAGCCTCAATGAGAAAGGTAAATTTGCAAGAATAAAGTCATAGGCTGCATTTTAAGTCCAGTTACTAGAAAGGTTATTAGCCATTTTGAGTACTAGTAATTCCATGGCTTCCTTCTAATAATAGAAGTAATTATTTCTTAAAAAAATTCCAAACAGAATAAATTAGAACCTTTTAAAAGGTTTTTAAAATGGGAATCATAAAAAAATATGAATTGGCTCTACTTTCAAATTTTGATGAACTATTCATAGGTGATAATATGGCTTTTGAGACTTGGCATTTTTCTTGCTTTAGTATGTTTTTTAATCATAAGTTTGCTTTGTCTTATTTTTTGTTTTTTTTATTTTTGTCCTGCTGGGATTTTTTTTTTCTTTTTGGATTTCTGCTTTTTATTACGTTACGTATTGCTAGGACCTCGATAAGGCCCAGGAGGACATACTGAGACATCAGGCTAGCATTAGTGAACTCAAGCGCAATTTTATGGAATCCACACCTGAGCCGCGCCCTAATGAATGGGAAAAACGACGTATCACACCTCTGTCCCTACAGACACAAGGGGTATGTCAATAGCTGTTTGTTGGCTCTATGTCTCGCTCCAGCTCTTCAATAAAACTCAGGTTGCTAATTGTTGATTCTCAGGAAGTTAGAAAGTGTTCCCTTCTTTTTTAAGGTAGTTGCTAACAATTTTTAAAATACTAAATATTAACAATGTAATACTTATTGACATAGTTTTTAGTAAATTGTGTGAGTTTCAAAATATTTTCAAATGTTGCAGAATAATTTCACTATCATACTCCAGTAAATTAACAGTAATGAAATGTTTAATGTAGGGTGACTTTTAGAGACTGATCGTGTGTTGTATATGTAATAAGGTTTTCAGTTATGGACTTCCGAAATAATAAAGTTTACTTGATAATTAAATAAAGGGGATGTAGGAATACAGATGGTATTTAGAATGGTTTTAAGGTAATTACTTTGAGGATGGAGAGTTAAACTTAGCTTTGAAAACTAATGAGCTCTTTTGAAGATTTGCAAAATGTGACACAATTTAATATTAATACTGAAAGTTTTTAGTAATGAGATGTAGACTACTGTTTTGAGAGGATTCTCAACCATAACATCTCTCTGAACTCTTTCTTTTCATGGTTTATTTCTTCCCCCACCCCCCACCAGTATAACTGTTGCCTTTACACTATATTCTCAATCTGTATCTCCCTTCATTCTTATCTGCAGCTCTTTTCTGATGCTCCAAAATCTGTTTATCAACTAAGAACTTTCATGGACTCATTTGTCATACATGAGAAGATAATGATCATACTGTATGAAAATGCTGTTTTAAAAAGCACCTGAAGGTGTTACCTGACAATTTCACCTTTCCCCTCTTCTTTACAGGCCTCTCTTTCCCTGACACTCATCCGCCCCTCTCTCTCGTCTGGCTTGAATGTTATCAAACCTGTACGCACTTGAGTTACTCCCATACTATTTTTATTCACTTTTTCTTAAAAAGGGCAAAGCTCTTAGTTGCTTTGAATTTCTAAGTTTGTGACAGTGAAAGGGAAGTTGCTCTTCAAGAACAGAAGCAAAAAATAATTGCTGAACCGAAAAGACAACTGATGACAACATTAAGATCGAAAACAGCAGGGTCTCATGAAGTTGTATACAGCTTACATCCTCATTTTCAGATTTTCTGAAAATATATGTCAGCATTCAGCTCTAGAGTGTTGTGTTTTCTGGAAAAACCGTGTCTGATGACGTGCTATTTTTGTCCTCCCTTTATGTGCTGCTTTATCCGGTTTGTTCTGCTGACCCAGAGTTTAATGTTTGTGTTGCTATAGATGTAATGTACTTGTCTGACTTGTTGATTATGTCTATTGTTTAAAACAATAGAGCAGAGGAGACCATCTTTTCAAGGATATTTTATCCGTGAAGGAGAAGCATCCGATGGCAGCAGCACGGACAGTTGAAGAAAAAGTCCAGGAGGCAGACAAGGTGTTCACCTTGCATCCTTGGATCTTCTCTTGCTTTTCCCCCTTTTCCTTTCATTTCTGTACACAGCCATAGGAGACTCCTTTTTTCCCATGTATTCACTTAAAATTTTGTTGAAATGATTTTTCGAGCAGTTAAGAAAATCAAATTCCCTTATGTGGAAACCTATGATCATTAGTGAGAAATGCCATATTGCGGGAGGACTGTACTTGAAAATCCACAATTTGAAATGCAGACCTACCAACCAATTTAGGTGATGAATGACCCCCAATTTTGATGAATGTGGCTGACAGCTGGGAATCCATGATCTCGTGTGAAAATGCACCATTAGTACCACGCATGTGTGTGCACCGAGGCAGTGTTAAAATAACAAATTATGTCTGATGTAGGTAATTATTTTACTAAATATGTTTGGAAACCATACAAATTTTCATTTGAATTTCATTTAGCAGGAGAAATGGTGTGTCACAGCTGCCCCTCAGGTCTCTGTGCTCCCTACGTACAGGAAATATCTGGTATTACCAAGGAAGTTAGCTTTCCATTGCCTTGACATACCTCTTCTGCTGTCTCTGCTAATTTTGCCTCACCAGCTGACTGGCCTGTCTTCTGCTGGGACTAGAGTGCTTCGAGTCCAGTGAGGGAGATGATAGCAGACATGTTAATTAAAACTTTTAGAGTACTAAGGAGTAAGGGTTAAGAAGGTGAAACAGAGTTTTGCTAGAAAGTAGTTTGGGAGGGCTGCTTGCTCATTGTACTCTGGAAAGATGGGACACGTGAGTTGAGACCATAATCTGAAGAGAAGGAGGCAGACACGTGAAGATGCTTCCGTGTGTAAAGAAGAGGAAATGCAACAGCCCAAGACAGGAACTAGTGCAAGGAACTGCAAGTTCACATGACAAGGGCTTAGGAAAAGTCAAGGAAGTCAGAAGGTCCACTCTATTTTAAAGACCACGCTAACAGTTTGGGATTCCATCCTAGGAATGACGGGAAGCCCATGGCAGAGCCTTACGCGGGAAGATGACCTAGTCCCACATGTTGGACAGAGATCCCACTGGTGCTGGATGAGGACAGAGTCCCAGGGGGATGGGAATGAGAGTAGAAATCAGTGATAAGGAAAAAGCCTATCCGTTCCAGAGTCTGGTCTTGTTCCTCAGTGAATGGTAGCCTTCGTCAGAGCATATAGTGGGGCAAGGGGAGGAGTCAGAATAACGAAGAAGAGGCCTTGCCCTCAAGGAACTGGAGGTGGAGCAGAGAGGAAGCCTTTCCAGAGCACCGCAGATGAGAAAGATAATGTGTCATAAAGCTAAACCAAGTGACATATTTATATACTTTCAAAGGTCAGCGTGAAATCCAGAGCCTGTCAGTGTGTAAGATGGCTTTAATGTCCGATGCTTTGAAATATTACATAGTTTTGAAAATTTATGTTCTAGAAGCAAGACAGATGGCACCATCTCATCCATTTAAAATGATGTACTTTTTGCAATTGGAGACTTTGGAATGTTGGTGAAGATGTTGAAAATTACCGTCTTCCTTGCCGTCCTGGCTTAGTACCATCCGTTAGAAACCATTTACGGTAGAAATCATTCACTCGTTGTCGTAGAAGTTACATTAAAATGCTATTAGGTGAAACTTAAATCTGGAATTGACCCCCTGTTACACTTCTGAGTGGTTTTTCTGTAGTTGGAGTTGCTGCTGTTTTCTTGCTCTTGTCCTCCAGGATCTGCAGGAAAATAGTTTTACTTGGCACATACGTGGATTGTTGTAACTGCAGTCACATGCATCCGTTTACCCATTCACCCAACATTTATGGACCACTTACATCATGCCCCCCACCCCTCTGCCAATAGCATTTCACTACTATTCGTGGAAGTGTGTGAGCAGTTAAGTCTACTGTAGCATTTTGCCTCTTAACGGAATTATCTTTTTTTTAAGATTTTATTTATTTATTTATGAGAGAGAGAGAGAGAGAGAGAGAGAGAGAGAGAGAGAGAGGGCAGAGACACAGGCAGAGGGAGAAGCAGGCTCCATGCTGGGAGCCCGACATGGGACTTGACCCCGGGTCTCTAGGATCAGGCCCTGGGGCTGAAGGCGGCGCTAAACCGCTGAGCCGCCCGGGGATCCCCCAACAGAATATCTTTTAAATTTCTTTGCCGCATCTTCATTTTGCTACTGATTTTGTAGGGTTTTTTTGATTATCTTTAAATTATAATCCTTAATGAATGTAAAATAAAAAGTTATGCGTGGGAGTCTAATTTGACCAAAGTTTCTAAATCTCTATAATAGGAGTTTTACAGATTAAAGTTTTGTTTTGTATTGTTTTTAAGTAATCTCTGCACCCAGTGCAGGGTTCAGACTCGTGTGCCCAGGAGTCTCCTGCCTCTGCCACTGAGCCAGTCTGGCTCCCAGAACCGTAGTAGTTCGTGTTGGAATACGTTGAACTTTCAGGATGGCTTCAGTGTTAATATGGTTTTGAGAGAATATTGGAGACCAAATCATTTAGTGTAATACATTTACATTGAGTAACTAGATTTACCTCTTTTGTAAGGATTGTTACCTGTTGTGTTCCCGGGAGCCCAGTAGGGATTATACAGAGTGTAGTTTTGAGGTACTTTTGAAGCTGCTTGCCTGAGTAATTACGTGCGTGGTACCTACTTGAAGTCCCCAGCGCTCCTATGGGAAGGACAGTCTTTCCACCCTCCACCCAACTGACCCGGAGGGATGACAGGACTATGAGGATCACTGCTAAGCTGAGTTCACCCGCAAGATGTTTGCCCTGTCCCAAATACTGCAAGCGCTTCTGCACGTCCCTGTCCCCTCACGGGCCCTCTTCCTCACCCTCCTGCCCTATTTCAGGGGGCGTCTCAGAAAGGCCACCTATTCCTCCAGCCAGCCGCTCTACAGCGCCTCCTTACCGCTGGCATCGCACGTCCCTGGCACGGCCCGGCCTTCCGTCGCGCCCTCAGGTTGGGGACAGCAGTCTCAGGGCCAGAGCTAGGAACGGTGACTTTACCTTCATGGTTTCCCAGGGACGCGGGGTTTTCACGGAGCCCACAGGCGTCCTCACCCTGGCACCCTCTCCATGGCACACTTAGCACAGCCGTGGGGCGCCGAGGGCCCTAGCCTGCGCGGCAGGGGCGGCGTGGAGGCGGCCCTTCGGGTGGCAGGGGTGCGCCCCAGGAGCGGGCGAGCAGGTGCGGGTGCAGGTGCGGGCGGGGAGCTGGCACCAGGCTGGCCCGCAGTCTCCTCCTGGCCTTGCCGCCCCTGGTGCTGGTCTGCATGACCTTCCTTCCTTCCAGTTTGTCACCGCCGTGTGTCCTGGCTCCTGGGTAATTCTCTGCTCTTCCTCTCTGACCTCTCTAGAGCCTAGAAGAGGAGATAACGTCCATTTTGTTTAGTGCAAAGGGCTTTTGTGGTAGCGTGGGCACCTCCTGCAGCGCAGCCAGCACCCGGACAGCCGAGGGCCCTGCTGTGAGCCGTAAAGCCCCTCCTGAGAGGCCTTCCTCGCCCTCCTCGCAGTTGCCTGAGGTGCATTTCACTTTGTTTCCCCTGCCTTCGAAAGCCACATGTGAAAGTGATTTTGGGGGGACGTTTAAGAACCTCTCTCTCCAGTGCTGTCGTTGGTAAAATTAACCCTTCCTGGAGAAACATACAAGAAACCATGACTGGACACGAGGGAAGGCTACAGATTGGATGTTTCTCCTGCCGTTGGTCCCCTGGCACCCGCAGAGTCTGCCTAAATTCAGAGAATCCTCTAAAGCAGTAGGTCCAGACCCTGAGCTGTGTGCGAAAGATGCCCTCACTAAGGGAAGCGAAGTACGTTGGGCAGAAAGACTTTGAAAGCCTAAATGTCTTTCGGGCGTCTCCCGACAGCTGCACGCTTTTAACATTCTGCTCCTGTGTAAAAATATGGAGTGCCTGCCATGCCCAGAGAAATAATTATTTTCATTTTTTGGAATGACCCTAAGGGATTCCCTGAACTTGGGCAGAGCCCATCTGGCCATCTGGGGCCAAGTAATAATAATTTACTGACCCGGAATAATAATAACAGGATGTCTGCTTTAGAGAGGTTCTGGTCACTGGACAGCTTTATGTATAAAGAAGTTCATGGTTAAATGGCATTCACCAAAATGGTATCAGAGTTTTCCAGTGTACTATCTGAAACCTCTGGGTTTTCAATAATAAAAACTGGAAGGATCTCTCTCTTGTCTGTCGGTAACATGATTTACACGGCACTAACTTCGAGCAGTGAAAACACGCCCTTACCACGCACGTCAGGATAACGGCACAGATCACAGCGAGCGAGTAGATGCTGATAGGTGCTGTCCGCAGTGTTCCCTTCGAGGGCCTTTTGCTCAGTTTTCCATGTCACTGGTGCATAAGAACAGGGGATGCTGCTCCTTGCTGCAGGAGCCAGCTCTAGTCTGTGGGGCCGTGGCCGCGTCCCCGGGCCCGTTCCTGCCCCCGCGTTCAGAGGCTCACTGCCCTCCGTTCAGCAGGGAGATACCTTCTTGAGTCAGCAGGGCTACTCTCTCTCTCGCAGAACTAGGATTTGGTGAGATCTCAGGCTGCCCCGTCACCTGAATGTTAAAAAGTTGGCTTCATTTTTATCAGTGTAAAGTAGCCCTCCCACCTTTCAGGATAAGTTTAAGGAATGTTGTGAGCTTTAAAAACTCCTTTGCACGGATGTTTCTACATTATCAACAGGGAAGCATAGTGATTTATAGGACTCATGTATTTGGTCAACAGGTGTTTAGTAACACTGTACTACTTAATTTGCTCCCAAGAATTAGATGTGGGGGTGGGATGAGGGGCCAGGAATAAACATCTCAGATAATAAACTTGGTTCATTTCAGTTTCCAAAGATGCTAGTTTGGAGAAAATAAATTCCAGAAGAAAGCACTTAGAGCTATCATTGACATCCACCCTGACGTTAAAATACCCTTTTGCTAACCTGTTCTGTGACTTGGGATGCTAATAACCATTTCTGCAACGACAACATCTTTGTGTTAATAGCTCTCTGAGACCAGCGCTAATCTTGCCAATTACAGCTGTTTTTTAAATGAGCCAGCAGAAAATAGAGGTGCCATCCCATTGACGCTGTGTCCACTCAGGGATCGGGGTTTCAGGCCAGGCTTTACCGTCTGGTTAAAATCAAAACCGTTTAGTGAATAGGTTTTGAAAGTCTTACAGTTTCACGTCTCCTCAGTGAGCTTTGGTGTGACTCCTTTTCTCTTCCCACCCTCTCAGCTAAATGAGGAGAGCTGATATGCATGACTTGGAATCAGCATTTTATGTCTTTGGGAGGATGCTGGCGTTCTGTGTGTTTTGTGTCCTTTCATAAACTTTTTGCATTTTGTCTGGATTGTCCTCCATGTCACCTTGAGCAAAGATTTTTGTGGATGTCGATTCTTGCCATTGTCTTACAGTGTCATGTGTTTGTTTTGGTGGGTGTTGAGGTGTAAACCTTTATTGATTTGTGTCCTCGGTTGCTTTTTGTTCCGCAGAAACGTGCTCCCGAGTCAGAAGGGCCTTGCACTGGAGCCAGTGATGCTGTTAAGGTTCTCCCCTTTTCCATGTTAACACCATTGCCTGATGTTTCTGACTCCCCGCTCCCCCGCTTCCCTTTCAGTCAGCCATCATAATCATCTTTATTTTTTTTCTCCATGACATGAACCTACCACCATCAGTTAACTTTGGTTTCCGTCGTTTTTTTTAATTTATTCATGTATTTTGTTTTCCCTCATCCATTTTTTTTCTCGTACAGAGTTCACATGAGACTCTGAATGTAGTGGAGGAGAAGAAGCAGGCAGAGGTTGGGAAAGACGAAAGAGTAATCGCGGAAGAGCTGAACGGTAAAGAGCTATCACCTGGGAGTGGTCCTGGGGCCACGCGTAAGGTGGAGCCCGTGACACAGAAGGACTCCACCTCCCTGTCTTCTGAGAGCAGCGGCGGCAGTGAGAGCGAGGAGGAAGACGTGGGCGAGTACCGGCCCCACCACCGCGTGACCCCAGGCACCATCAGGGAAGAACAGGAGGAGGAGGAGGAGGAGGTGGAGGAAGGAGCCGGCCGAGCAGCCCAGGTGGTAGAGAGGGAGGCGCCGGCACCCCAAGGCAGCCGCGGCTCGCAGGCAGGTGCCAGTGTGAGCGCAGTGCGAGCCGAGAGCCAGGAAGGCCCAGTGGCCCCCGGGAGCCCTGCAGAGAAGCGTGTAGACGGAGGCGCCACTAAGCAAGACGGCAGCGAAGACGCGGAGGACGAGCCGCATAAAGTTAACGGAGAGGTGTCTCCTGTTGACCTTGATGTTTTGCCACAAATTATTTGTTGTTCAGAGGTAAATGGGAGGCCCGAGCGGGAGCGAAACTCTAGAGCTGGCCCCCAGGGGAACAGCGCCTGCCTTCTGTCCTCCTGACCCGCCTCCAGCTGCTCCCACGAGGCCCTGGTCTCGCTCTCGGGAGGAAGCGGGAGCACTGCTCTCTAGGGTTTCCGCGGCTCCGTCGGGGTCTGGCTTCTTTACTGCACCTGGATCCACGACAGTAAACCCGCCTTCAGCAGCCGACCGGGGTGCTTTCCCTTCTCCTTTCACACTTGACGTTTTCTATGCATGTTCTGGGTGTTTCCAGTGGTTTGTCAGTAGTCGCACCGCCTCCTCGTGCTAAATGCCTTCTTCGTTGGTTTGATTAGCACATTGTACCTGCATCGCTGACCAACGGGCAGCGTGCTTGTGTGCCTGTGGCTCTTGTCGTGATTGGGTCTCACTTTTTGGCTCCTTCTCCCTTCAGCTTTACGTTTTTAGAAATGGCAGCTGGTCATGGTGACCGTGGTGCTCGGAGGTCAGCATCCGGCAGTGACGACAACCCATTCCCTGAATACCACTGTGCCAGCCGTCCTTAGGCCCCAGGGAACGTACAGACCAGCTAGGAGCATTTTCCTTCCCGGTAGCAGTGGAGGGCTGGCCGGGTGGATAGGAGGACACCCTTCTCCCTCTGTCCTGTCCTCAATTCTGGGGCATTTGCAAGTTTTCGTCTGTTTTGTGGATTATCTACATCGGATAGGACTGTTGTAACTCTTTCTCTTCAAGAAAGAGAACTTTCCAGGCCCTTGGTAGGTTAGGTCTTGGTCACGAGGTGCGAGTGTCCCTCAAAGGGGAGTCAAAATTATGCTGAGTGGGGGTTTCCCTTCATTGGACTTCCTTCATCCTAAAACCAAATGCCCACGATTTAGGCACTATCCTAAATCTTTAGGCACTATTTGCTCCCTTTGATGGGCTGGAAAATCTCGAAGTGACTTTATCTTGAAATAATTAAATGGATTTTTACTATATTTTAAACTTTGTGCTTCAGAGAAGACATTTCAAGAGTCTTTGGACGCTCTGAACTATTATTTCCTGCATTTACTATATGCTGTTCCTCTTTAAATAATTACATTTGGGAATATTCTCTCAAGGCAAGTGCCTGTAGTATTTTGGTAGCAGCATGGTCTGTGGTGCAGTAAACGCATGTGCCCAGCAGAGGACACTGCAAAGGCCTGACCCTGTCTGACCCTGTTCCTTAATGTTTTAACTGTTCAAAGCCAGTCATGCAATGTTGGTGGAGAATTCTAGATGTAACATTTTAACTTCTGTAACGCAGAAGAAGCACTGCAAGCCTTAGACCAGTGTAAGTGGAAAAAAAAATGCTACTGGAAGATGCTCAAAGTAGAAAGTCTGTCGATGAAGTAGAAGAGTCTTTTTGGGGAAAACCCTAATCCCCATAGCTGATGTGCCGGGTAAAGACCACGAGCCTTCACGCGCACCGTGTGGTTCATTAAGCTGCAGGAACACGGAGACCAGTCACGTCACATAGTTCGCTCTGTTTGGTTCTCTTTTCCATCTTGTTACAACGTGCTCCAACACTGCAGAGTGTGTCTCGCACGCGCCACGGTTGACATGCGATGGGACAGCGGTAATGGGAAGTGTGCCGTGAGTTAGGGAGCCATCGTGGTAGCCGATTCTCCAGATGCGCACACGTGTGACTTTTTAAGGAAACTGTTTTTCTCTTGTGTCTTTTGTTTTATTTATCTTAACTCTTGTGCATGAGTGTGTGTTTGGATTTTTTTTTTACAATTATTTTTGAAGGCTCCGTTAAACACTTACTTTGTGACGTCTAGAATTTATTTTTCCCTTCCTTTCTACCTCAGCCACCAGTGGTAAAAACAGAGATGGTAACAATTTCTGATGCCTCACAAAGGACAGAAATCTCCACCAAGGAAGTCCCTATTGTCCAAACTGAGACCAAAACCATCACATATGAGTCTCCACAGGTACAAAAACTCTAGATTTGGACTATTTGAGTTCTTTTCCTTGCTTTGTGTCCATTTTTACATGTTTCTGACTTTGTTGTAACGTTGCGCATCCTGGTGTCTTCACTGCACTCCAACCTGCCATATCCTGACTTAGATTGCGACAGTCGGGGTCGGGCGGGGGGGCGGGCAGCGTACACGTGCTTGTGAAGGACGGGCACGCTGGTACACACTTGGGAATGAGATCATCTTACAGAATTCATTGGGTCTGACCTAACTTGAGGACCGGTAACCTTGAGGCTCTCTTCATCCTGCCGCCCGCCCCTGCAGCTCCACGTGGGTAGATACAGTCCCCGCTCCTGCTTGCCACGTGTAACACACGGTCAGTGCTGCTGCTACACGTGGAATTATTTTCTGAAGACGCATTGTCGATCTTAGTAAATATGATACCATGGGTCAAAGTAACAATCAGATTTATATGCTTAATTTGAGATCTTGATTTAGACCGTATGCAGATACTGATTCATTATTTCGACATGGAACTGCTTAGACACCCATACAACTGTTCCTTGACTGAGGAGCTTAGTGTCCTAGCTCAGATCAGCCCGTGCTGGGTGATGGCAGATCATTGACCTCTCCAGAAATCTTTTTTAAAAGGTTTACCGTGGGCGTGTTCAAATACTCTTCGAAATTATCCTAGATGTGTTATCCGTGTGTGTACATAGAACCATGCAAACACAGGTTTCTCAGGATTAGCTGTTGAGGGAGAGCACGCACTCGCGTGTCGGGAGTACAGTAAGTGCCCCGGTAGATGCAGGTACATGACTTACATTTGACAGGAACTTCCCCGTAACTCAGGCTCTGGGCTTCCTGGTTATTGCCTTGCGTCAACATCAGGACGTGGGAGATGAGTGTGTTGGTGACCTTCACGTATACGCTTAGGCCACTAATTTGTTCCATATTTGCTCTGGTAAACTCTAGAACTTTCTGCCTTGTTAGTATCAAGGCAAACAAGTTAAAACCCGATTAGAGACATGTGTGGGGTTCATATATACGTACAGAGAGAACACAAGGCTGCACACGTAGTAAAGTGTGTGTGTCCACGTGTAAGTTCATCCCAAGTATTCCAGCAACGACTAGAGATAAGCCGATAGCCACATCAGTGGGTCTACACCATCCTAGTCTGGTTCTCTTGCTCCATAGATGAGAAAACATGTACAAACTCAGCACTCGCAGCCACTGTGGACCCTGTTCTGTCTGGCTCTTTAGTTTCTCTTTCCAGTTTCTGCAAGAGACCTTCATTCGAACTGTCTCGTGACCCTTGTAGCTTTTAGTCCCATTTTCTACTTGATTCTTCCCTTTTTTCCCCCTCCCTCCTGGGGCTTTGCCTCTCCACGTGCATTTAGCCTTCGCCTTGACTCTGTTTAAAGGCCAGCAGCCTCCTGCTCCATAAATCACCACTACAGACATGCAAGGGCCAGGCAGCTAAGCTGACTGCCGACCTCAAAGAGCTCACAGCATGCATGTTCGATGGGGAGGGTCTTCTCTGGCCACATGATGGAAATTAAGCATTACTTTGTATTTTTCCTCCAACTATCCAAAGATTGACGGCGGGGCTGGTGGTGACTCCGGAACATTACTGACGGCGCAAACCATCACATCTGAGTCCGTGTCGACAACGACCACAACGCACATCACCAAGGTAAGGCAGTCCAGGGTGGGACCTTGCCAACAGGGGTCTGTTCTGAACTGCTTGTTCCTACACCTGCCTCAAAGTGATAGCCCCGTGGAGTAAAAGTGCCTGGACTTCAAGTATCCAAGAAATTGGGCTCCATTGGCAAATGTATTTTTGTGAAGTACAAGGGAATAAAAACAGGTCATGCGTAGCTGTAGGTCAGGGCGCTGCAGGAGCAGAGAGGGAGCATGGGAACAGTGGAAGCACGAGGTTGGCAAGTACACACGAAGCCTCCTGACAGAAGCAAGGCCATCATTCAGGATTTTCAGCAAGTTGTTCAAGGAACATAATTTTCCCCTCATTGATCTAAGGTGTTCATATGTTGGAGATGGGGCATTTTTCCAGGTCATTCTCATTCTCTAAAGGTTTGACACCAGATGACCAGTGATTCTCGAGTGTGGTCTCCAGACCAGCAGCAGCAGGCTCTCCCGGGACTGGTTAGGAGTGTGTGTCCTGCGGCCCCATGCCCGATCTACCGAAAGCCTGGGACGGGCATACGAGCCCCCCGGTGATTCTGAGGCGCGCGGCCATCGCCCGATTTCTGACTCCAACGTTGTCTCCCCACGTTTCCTTTTCCATCTACCTCTCACGTTTTGTTAGTGCTTAAAGGTTTTCAGTGTATCCTTTATGCTGTATTTCAGCCAGAAACTTTGTAAATTAAAAAAGTGCCACGTAAACACGAGATGGTAATGGCACTCGTTTTAAAGCGTATGGGGCTGTCCAGGCTAGTGGTCGGCTTGGTCTCTCACAAAAAAGCGCGATCAGTGTGGCCTAGTACATAGTTGATGGGGGTTGTAGAGATTGGCTGTGTCCCTCTCGGGGCTCAGCTTGCAGCCATATGCTCTCGTCAGCCTCCGTGTCCCAGACTGTGCCGCGGACCGCGTGGCCGCTCGGGTGGGGCTCCTGCCCAGGTCTGCTCACGGTTGTTGTTGGCAGGCGCGGACATGCAGAGGCTGTAGTCAGGTCAGACGTCGAACAGAAATCCTTATGTCACCCTCGTGTATCTTCACCTTAAACCAAATCCAAGTCCTCTTTTTTCTTCTGCACTAAACCAAATGAAAACATTATGGGTGGATTTGTAGGAGAATCAGGCCGTCAAAATGGTGACACCAAGCAATTCCCAAACCTAAACTGGGGACCTAGATCGTTAGGATTCCTTGTAACTCTGTATAAACCAGAGAGTCCTTTCTTCTTTCCTGTTTTAACAAATGGGCCGATTGGGGAATCGTACACTCAGGGGAATGGTAGTGGAATGTCCCAGCGGAACTTTTTGGATTAAATGGCATCCGTCTCCTCTTCATTTGCCCTGAATCTTGATACGTCAATTTTAAAGCTGCTTTCAGTTGAGGACGACTTACAGATGCTGCAACTTTAACAATAGGAATCTCTGTTGAGCTTAAAGATAGTTTCCGGAACACCCGTCTTCTCCACGCAGCGTGGTTGCTCCCTTTCCCTCCCATGAGCATGAACGTGCTGTAATGAGTGCTGTCTCCTTGATTTTGTTTTCTTTATGGCCTTTAGACTGTGAAAGGTGGCATATCTGAAACAAGAATTGAGAAACGCATCGTGATTACGGGAGATGCAGACATTGATCATGACCAGGTAAAGACCTGCAGCTCTGGTTCTGAAAGTGACCGTGTCTCTTGGTTTGGCAGGTGTCGTGGGGTCGTGTCCCCGTGTCTGGCCCCTTCTCCCCATGCCTTCTGGATGGAGTCATCTCCTAGGCATAGACGCGTCCCACCCGAGACATGGCCTGTCCCGGGAGCCTCCCTCAGGCCAAAGCAGTGCAGCACGTGACGGCTGTTCATTTCCCACTGGCTTCCCGTGTGCTTTTGGGTCCAAGTAATCGCGAGGATTCCCGGCAACCACTAGTTAATTCTTGTGGGCCTGGGTTTAGGCCCATCGTGGATTAAACACTGAATGGCAGCATAATGACACTAAGAAAAGTCACCAAGTTTGACTCAGACCGACTTTAAGGAACTCACAAAGTATTTTTTACAGCGTTAGACAAGTTGGGCTATTTACCTGAGGTGTGTCCCCTGATTATTACTATTTTCAAGGGGCGGGAGAAAAGTCCGAGGCCCCCCACAAAGTGACGCCATACATGGCTTCAGAAGCTGCTTAAGAGAATCGTGCTTCCAGCTGCTGTTTACCCGAGCCCAGTGCGTGGCTTAGGAATGCAGGAGAGGAGGGCCGGACTGCTGGTGACGTGGAAGGAGCTTTAGTTTTAGGCAGAGGCCTCAGCTGATGAGAATTTTTTGTTTTGTGATTTTCAGAGTGACTTTAACTCTGCTTTAAAGGAAAGTGGAGAAGAAATGGGTAGGAAATATCAGAAAGGGAGATAGAACATGGAAGACTCTTAACTGTTTAAGTTGTTAGAGACATTCAGTTGAGCATCTTGGCTGGGGCGTCAGAACAGATGATCGCTGCCCGGCTCTGATGCAACGTGGAGCTCAGGAAACAGAGTTTGGAGAACAGGATGTCCCACTTTTAAAAAAGCTCACTCTGTGTGACCAGAGAGATGCTCTTCTCTGCCTAAAAAGAAAACTATGTTTTTCTAGAGCCCTGTAAACATGACTTGGCTTCCCTCTTTCCTGCGTGTCTCATCCCTGAGCGCGCTCTGAGGTCAGAGAAGGGCTGCCCTGCCTCTGAACTTGGACTTTGTCATAAGGGCTCGGGGTAGCTGGCTGGGCCCGCCTGCCCGCCGGGGAGCCTGGCTGACTTCGTGGAGGCCCAGCTTCCTGCTCTGCACGGGGAGGGATGCTCTGCTGGGACGGTCTGGACGGAGCAAGTGCTCCCTTCCCTGCTGGCCTCTAGCGGGAATGTGTATGCCCCCGTGGGGGAGAGGCCCCCGTGGGGGAGAGGCCCAGGCCTGCGCTCTTCGGCGGGAAGTGGAAATCCAGGCCTTCCAGGTCGTTACTTCTGCTGCCCATCTGGCCACTGGACGTGCACCCTCCCGGCCTTCCTGGGCCACGCTCCCCATCAGGGATCTCCCCGGTTTTCTGTGCCTTCCCACCGGCCCGCCTTTGGTGACAATACAGCTTCTGAGCAGCAAATGATGAAGACAGGGTCTGAAATGGGAGTGCCAGTGGGATGCCCGTTGCTGACCCCCCTTAGGAGGAGGCCGCAGCCTGACCCTGAGACTGCAGGAACATGGCCTTGCTCGGTGCATCCCGCGTCTGCCCGATTAAAGACCAAGGGCCGATGCCAGAGGAGAGAAGAGGGGCTAAGCTTCCGTGACGCGTTCGCGGGTAGTTGTAAGGCACACGGACCTCCTTGAGTCCGTGTAACTGGCTTCAGGCGCACCTGTCCCCTGAGCTCACAAAGCTCCCTCCCCTGAAAGCCTGCAGCGACACCACGCACGTGTTCACAGGCAGAGGGAAACCACTTCCTGCCGACAGCCGAAGCCCTCCTCATGGGGTCTGCGCTGTCCCGGCCCCTTCTTCAGCCCTTGTCCTGTCTCAGGAGAATCATAACCATGGGGAGAAACCCTCCCCCTGAGCAGCAAAGACAACAGGGGTCCTGTGCTTAAGAGGCTGCGTCGCAGGCGGCTGCCCCGCGTGCACCCACTCCGCGCCGGGACGGGGCACCGCGCTCGCCCCTCACCATGTCTGCTCCTTTGCCGTGAAATAACCTCCCGGTTTGGCAGGAGGATGTGATCGTTTGTGCACAGTCTCTCCCGTTGTCTCATAAGTTGACATTTTGCAGTATTTCGTTTCACATGCGGATACTGCAGAGTGACGGAACTAACGGTGAACGGATTTCACATGTGTTTGGAGACCATTGGGCGGCTTTCGGTTTTCCCTCCTTCCCTGCTACTCGAGGCATGTGTCACGCGTGTCCCCTTCCCCTGGGCATCATTTGTTTCCCTGTCACCCTCTGTGCTTCACGGGGCAGCTCCTTGGGTGGAGCAGAGGTGAGCACCTGCACTGGCTCCAGCAAGGCCGTTCCTCCCAGACCGGACTCCAGACAGCAACACGGGCTCGTCCGTGCGGATCGCCCGTCCCCCCTCGGTCCTGGGCCACCCTGTTGCTGCTCCCCCCCACCCCAGCCCCACAACCTGCTCCCTGGTGGGGACCTAAGTACCTCCAGCGTCTTCCAGACTTCCTTGTGACGTCTTGGGCATAAAACCGTGCAGGTCTCTGCGGCTTTACCACTGTGTGTGTGGAATGAGGCTGCAGGCTCTGTTGGCCAGACAGCAGATGAGAGGCGCCCTTGTCCCCGTAGGCAGATGACACAGGAAGAGGACAGGGTGGGGGGGGGCACTTGGTTCAGGCACATAGTTTCCCCCAAGACTTCCCTCTTCTCTGGACATCTTCTTAGAGTTTGAGGGCCGTCTGCGCCGCCTCCCCCCCGGGACACCTGTAAACCTCTCTCCCACAGAGGAGCGGATCTGTCCACTTTGTCACGACACTTGTACGTACTTTATCTTCTGATAAAATATGAAGAAACTCCACTGCTTCCTGGAAGAGCCTATGAGCTGGCGGGGGCCCCCGCGCCCTGCTCCTGCCTGCAGCCCCACGGCGGTGGCCTCGAGCGTGACCGCTGACCTCACCGCCCCGGTGGTTCTGACTGTGGAGCAGAGACCTGTACTTGAAGGACTGTCTGTGCTGCCTCTTGCACTCTGCTCGCTGTATGCCCCCTGCTGCTGCCCTGGAAGTCCGGGGGTCTTTCCCGCAACACTTGGCCTCCAGCAGTGGGGGCCCCTGAGGGAGGACAGCAGGCCCTGGGGGAACTGGAGGTGGGCCCAGGGTCTCCCCGCTGCTCCGGGAGCCACACGACCTTAGTGGTGGCTGCAGGTGACTGTACGAGCTCAGGGTCTGTGTCCTGCCAATCTTGGCGAGCGTGAGGCCGGCTCGAGTGCGCAGGTTCCTTCTGTTCTACGTGGTCATTATTTGAAACGACTGGAAAGTGGGAAGTGTGGGGCAACGGAGTGTCGGCCACCGTGAGCCCAAGCCCGCGGCCGGTCCTGCTTCCCGTGTGCGCCGGAGCTGGAGCCGCCCGGGAGCAGCGCAGCCAGGGCCTGGCTGACCGTGCTCTGTCCTGACCCCACAGGCGCTGGCGCAGGCCATCCGGGAAGCCCGGGAGCAGCACCCCGACATGTCGGTGACGAGAGTGGTGGTGCACAAGGAGACGGAGCTGGACGAAGGGGAGGAGTAGGCAAGGTAAGAGTCGGCGCCCTGCGCGGAGGCCACTGCACCTGGCACCGTGTGTGCCTGGGCTCCGCCCGGTGCTCCCAACCTCATCACCCAGGTCCCCGCATGTGGTGGTGACGGGCGCAGACGGCAGCTGTGGCGACGCCCTGGGGTGTCCTGTTGGCCTAGGACCTCGGTAGGGGCTGTCTTCACTGACGTCCGCCTTACGGGAGGCCCTTTGCGGGAAGGGCACCACGGGGGCCTGACCAAAAGCCCTCAACACATGTGAGGAGTGACGCGTAAAGGAAAGATGGCTGTGGCTCGTGAACCTTGAGAACTTAAAGGATGAAGTGACAGTTCACTGTGCAGAGGGGGATCCGTGTCAGGGACAGATCATGGACTCTTGTGTTGCATCCAGAAATCAAGCACTTGGGGCACCCGGGGCTCAGCGGGTGAGTGTCTTGTCTGCCTTGGGCTCAGGCCGTGGCCCCGGGGTCCCGGGATCGAGTCCCACCTCCGGCTCCCACAGGGGCCTGGCTCCCTCTGCCTCTCCCCCTGCTCATGCTCCCTTGGTGTCTCTGTCTCAAATGAGTGAATGGTGGGCAAAACATTAACCCAGCAAACCACATAGAAGCTACGTGAACAATCAAAACTGTTCAGCCTCATTATCCTTAAATACAAATTAAAAACTCCGCGTGTACGTTTTCACTGACGCATCCGGCGAAGTTTGTTTTTAGCTCGTGTTCAGGAGGCTGTGAGAGGGAAGGTGATGATCCCCTGCTGCTTTTTAAATGGGTCCTGTTTTCTGGGGACAGTTTGGCAAAACCCAGCTCGTGAGCCTGCCGTGTAAACCACCGTGAGCGTTTATCTGAGATAAGCAGACATGCACACGAGGACTTGCCACCAGCGTGTTGAGGACATTCTTAGTTACGCCAGCAGGTCGGAAACGACCTCTGTGCTGGCAGCCGGCTGGTGACGCCGTTCCCGTGTGACGGGATCACCGCTGTTGAGTGCTGCTAACGTCCACGATGGCGCATGGAAGAGGTGGGTTTTGTTGCTTGGCACGTGTACCAGGGTTGCCGTTCTGTTTGTACCGCATTGTGTACACTGATGGGTTAGTCGACGGCGCCTCACAGGATGCACATGTCCCCCCTTGGGGACGGCGTGGCCCCCGCCACAGCACCGCCTCCCCTCTGACCAAACTGGTTCATGTGAAGGACACCTGGCGTTCTGGTTCTTGCTGCTCCCGGCAGAGTCCACGCGCCAGCCCTTCCTTGGTGTCTTTGCTGCAAATGCCTCAGGCTGTGGCTGGTCTTTGCTGTCCGGGTCCGTATGTTGGTGCGCTGGCTGCACTTACTAGCAGAGGTCACGACGTGGGACTATCACGCTTTCCCTTGTGGCTCACGCCCCCGGTACCCTGCGGTTTAGAGCCATGGTCGTTCGCGTACTTAACGTCACCTTCTGTATAGAAACTCTTGGTCCATGAGAAATGGTTCCTGTGTGGGGATGGCTCGTGTCCTGCCGGCATAGCCAGCGTTCCAGCCATGGGTGCTGAGCCCATCGTCATCCACCCCCCGCCCCTCACCTCCAGCCCTGGGTGTTGAGCCTGTTGTCACTCCCCCACCTGCAGGTCGCATGTCAAGTCCCTCATATGTGTGGGGACCTCGTGGGCCCCGTGGTTCCGTGAGTCCGTATGTCTGTCCCTGCTCGGACGCCGTACCGTCCACGTTACCATAGCTCTAAGATGAGGCTTCGTCCCTGGTAGGCTGTGTCTCCCCAGCCGTGTTTCCTCCAGGGATGTCTGGTCTGTTCTGGGCTCTTTCTGTACCACAGAAATTTCAGAATCAGATTGTTGGTTCTGAGATGACCCGGTGGTGTTTTAACTGGAACTGCGTCTGGTTTGGAGCTCAGTGTGGTAAGGATCACTTCTTCCCACAAACATAAAATATCTCTATTTATGTCGGTATTTTTTTAATATCTTCCAATAAGCTTGTATGATTTTTTACCCAAAGAAGGTCTTACAAATCTTCTCTCCCTGTTGCTGGTTTAGGGAGATACAACTGACTTTTCAGTGCTCGTCTTCTGTCCACAGCCTCACTCCCTATACGTGAGATGCTGTTTTCAACACAAGATGTTCAAGAGGCCCACAAGCAGAAATCACTGAAAATGTGAGTGTGAGCAGCACATCCACTAGACTGAACAGGTGTGCTGTGTTATATGTGAGGCTGAGGACTTTCTTAGCTGCTGTCGGGAGTTGGAGACTCAAACCGTGAGACGCTGGGGCGTCCGGTGCAGCCGGCCTTTCCTGACACGGTGATGAGTGAACGTGGTGTCACACGAATACAAAAGTATTGGGTGTTTCTGCTAAGTTACGTTACTTGATCAGGAGCAGAAGATGAAAATTAGTGCCCAGTGTGAGTGTGGCCAACACTGCAGTTGGATTTGTGGCATTTTAATAAGTCTTAGAGGGGATCAGTTCTGTCTGTTACCCCGAGGACCCTACCCATTTTCGCAGTGGGCTTGTGTCCACGCAGAGGCACACGCACCATGCAGACGCGCATACGCACGGCCTTTGAAGTTTGTCTCAGGACAACCTTTAGAAGCAGCCTCGTCAAACAGATCGGGGCAGGTAAAATGTAAATTCACATGGAAGGTGAGCAAACTAGATGAACTTGGAAAGATCCATTCATCTGTTAAAGAAATATTAAATGAGTACCAGCATGTGAGGGTAGAGCTAGGCCTTGAGCATCCAGCCCATCAAGGTGGTAAACAGCAGATGGGTCGTCCTTCCCGAGGAGGGGTCCACGGCGGGGTGGGGGTGGGGGGGGAGAAACACGGAGAAACGGAAACACGGAGAAACGAGCTGTGGTTCTGCACGTGATGCGGTACGGGAACCGGCACCTGGGGGCAGAGTGAGGCCTGGCCGGGTTGAGGACACGTGGGGGGAGGCGGGGGAGGGGGGCAGGAAGGGGGGAGAGGAGGGAGGACGGGGGGCTGTAGAGGCCTGGCCGCCCCGCCAGGCCCTTACAAGTCAAGCTCCAGGGGCTGGGGCTCATGGAGAGAAGTGGAGGGCTGCCGTGCCCCGTGACTGTGAGAGCTGTGAGGCCTTGTGGACGATGGCCCGGGAGGGGAGCAGGGCCTCAGGCTCGGGTCAGGGGTTCCTGCGATGTCAGGCCCAGAACCAGGGCTGCTCCTCGCAGCTAAGCCGCCTTAAAGCCAAGCTGTGTGTCGTGGTGTTGGGATGGGGGGGCCCCGGGGGCCTGGGCTGGGCCTGGCCGGGTGGGCTGAGCAGCATGTGCGAGGGGGCATCTCCGCGGGTCTGGAGGGGGGCCAGTCTGCATCCTGCGTGTCCTCCTGCCTGCCCCTTGGCTGTGCCGTCGCGAACTGGGTGCTGGGAGGCCCTAAAGAGTGGTTCCCAGGGCTCCGGGGAAGGCCTTTATGACTCGCGGGGCCAGCGGGCTTCATCCCTCTGACTCCCAGAATAAGTAAGCGCTGCAATGCCGTTCCCAGAGACGTGGAGTCCGAGACGCAGGTGGGGCGTCTGCGCGGGGACGGGGGCAGAGGGGGTGTCAGGAGGTGCCGGTGGGGCGTCCACCGGGGGGGGTGTCGGGAGGTGCAGTTGGGGCATCTGCACGGGGAGGTCAGGAGATGAAGGTGGGGCGTCCATGCAGGGAGGTCGGGAGGTGCAGGTGGGGCATCCACGGGGGTGGGGGCAGTGTGTCCGAGAGGTGCAGGTGGGGCGTCCCTGGGGGCAGGGGTCTGGAGGTGCCAGGCCCTGTGAGAAGTCTCAGCAGGTCCTGCGCAGGAGGGGCAGGTCAGAAGGTCAGGGCACGCATCCTGGAGGGAGGATGCCTGTGGCAGGAGTGAGGCCGCTCCGGAGTCAGCAGGAGGGAGAGGGCGGGAGGCTACCCTGGGAACCCCAGAGCACGGGAGCCCCGAGAGGGTGGGTGGGTCCCGAGGACTGACCACGAGGGCGAGTGCCCTGCGGGGCTGGTACAGTCACCTGGGCCACGGGGACAGCCCGCAGGTGCAGGGGGTCGGGAGAGTGCGCATTCAGGAAGCTTCCTTTGCTGTCGCGTGTCCACCACCATGGATTTCTGAAGGAGACCGTAGGATTCAAGCTGACTGTTCTGAGTCCGGGCTTCAAGATGAGCTGGAACGCCAGGCGGGAAGCGAGCACCTGCTGACAAGTGCCTTGGAGGAGGAGCCCCCGCTGATCCCGTTCTGCGAGGGGAGGCTCCCACTTGCACTTTACGAGCATCCCTGTTGCCCCACACCTTTGCTGACGCTGAAATCCTAAGACTTTTTTAAAGAATTTAATAAGACTTTGCCAGTCTGGTGAGGAAGGAGCATTTATTCCTCTCTTCCTCGAGAGACCCGGACACCCAGGCTGAGGGAGAGGCAGGCTCCCTGAGGGGGGCCCGACACAGGACTCGATCCTGGGACCCCGGGGTCACCCCAAGCCCCCCGGGTGCCCTCCCTCAACACTTTTTAAACAGAAGCCTCGAGAATGAAGTAATCTGCATCAGCGCCTGTACTCAGGACCCGCGAATGCCATCCATGGGCAGAGCGGAGCGTGGTGTCACGTCTGGACAGCCTCTCATGTTAGTCATCCCTGATGCTGCTTTCTGGACATGGGAGGTGTGGCATTCGGGGGGAATTGTGCTCTGGTAACCAAGACGTGTGTGAGGCGCCCCTAACCCCGTGAGGGTCACCTTCACGGACACGTTGTCCCTGCGGTTATTTGCTCCCGAGTATCACGAGCTTTGTCAGCTGTGGGGCAGGTGTGTGTGTGGATCATCCATCACGGTGGCCAGTACTCACCTCCGGCTGTTTGGAATCGAGACGTGCTGAGTAGGAAACAATATACTGGATTTAAAAACATTAGGGAAAAAAGTAAACTAATAACTTACTAATAATCTAGTGAATTGGGTCTAGAGATGAATCCTTTGGATTCCCACTGAGCCTCCTGTTCTAGGCAAACACCAGACGGGTACTTGGTGAGTTCTGTTCATATGTGGTTTCAAAGG